TATATATATATATATGTGTGTGTGTGTGTGTGTGTGTGTGTGTATTTTTTAATGTAGTACAGGATGAAATCGCACACAGAAAAGAAGGAATGAACATTTTCTCTGAAAGAGAACAAGCAAATGACTGTGTTTTCTTTAGTCTGGGTGGTCTATACAGCATCACACCGCCTCAATAAACAACTTAAGAGTTGGAGCCTGTGCTTAAAATAACGCCTAGACCAAGCCCAGAGGAGTCTGGGTAATGGCCCCAATTCCCTGGGTCATATATCAGACTGAGAGCTCAGGAATGATGGGATTGTGGAGGGCGGCAACGTTCTGCTGTTCAATCACACCTCCTGCTGGCTGCTGTTAGACTGAGAAACATTAGCGCTATATTGCTCTTCTCTGGGGATTTGAGCTGTGAAAATCCCAGGTTCACACTGCAGCTGCCTGTGGGTATTAGCATTTTTTGTTGACGGTTACTGAAGATGTAAATGTGAAAATAATGGCTCACAGTTGATATGGAACTATACTGTCAGAACATTTACTAGCTTATGGACAGTAAACAATTTTAAACTCTTTGAGCGCTGTTTGAAATTGTAACTATGCAAAATAAATTTCAGATGAGCGAAAATAAGCATAATATTGTTTGCCCACAATTAAGCATTTATTTCATGCTAAATTAATAAAAAAATAAAAAAAAAATATATATATATATATATTTTTTTTTATTAATTAATTTAACATGAAATAAATGTACATATGTACAATTAATATTAATATTATTATTATTTGTAGTAGTAGTAGTAGTAGTAGTATTAACCAGTGTGCATATAATAATAATAATAATAATAATGATAATAATAATAATAATAATAATAACTAAACTCAAATAAAAAATGTTGCCTTGACAAATATCTCAAATAAAATAAGTTTCATTTTAAATAATAAAATGACTAAAACCGAAATAAAAATAAATTCAAACTAAATAGAAATGTATTTATTTACATAATATAAATACTTAATTGGGACAAACCATTCTATACCTAAAAATAAACACAAAAATATGTATATATATATATATATATATATATATATATTACATTATATATATATATATATATATATATATATTAAAATTTATAACAGACATGACATGTTCATATTTCATATGTGTTCGTCAAACAGTGTTAAATGTATGGCTTAAGTTGACCCAATAGCTACAGTAAAAGATCAGTGTTGGAGTTGACATGTACATGTACTGTTCCATTGTCAGCCAGCAGCCTCAACACACTGACCTTTCAGAGTCACGCTGATGCAGGAGGAGCCTTTGCTGTAGAGGCGCACAGGCGGCGTCTCGGGCGGCTGCGCCCCCAGAACCCTCTTCACGTGGCTTAGGCTGTAGCTGTAGATGGAGTCCTGAGAGAGACCGAGACTGGAGCCGGGGTCCACCACCGCTAAATACTCCTACAGACGCACGGTGACAGGAGAAGAGCTTTACACATTCTCAAAGCATTTCAGACGTTTGATTTCGGGTCTAAATTTGTGGATGTTTCTGTCCCTCAGAAGACTGCAGACGGCACTCACTTTAAAAGCCTGGATAACTGCAGAGTCCAGAGCAAACCAGTCTGTCCGTCCGCTGATTTGAACCGCGCCTATGAAAAACTCCAGCTGTTTCACCTCCTATCAATGAGACATTTGATTTTCAAAAGTTACAGCAGATCAGAAGGTTGTTCATAGTTGTAAAAACAACATATTTATATAAATAATTACATTCAATATTTAATTTTAATTTTTAAATATAAAATAATATTAATTAAATATTATTACAAATATTAATATTTTCTTTATTTTATTAAACATTATTTAAAAATATAACAACAACAATATAAATTAAATATATAAAATGGTTACATTTAATAATAATTTTTGTTAGCTGAAATAAAATAAAACAAAGAATAGATAAAAAAAAACTTAACTTAAACAAAAATATAGTCTTGACAAGTAACTGAAATAAAACAAGTTTAAGTTGGAGTACTACATAATTTAAACTGAAATAAAAATAAACTACAATTTTATAAAAAACACAAACTAATAAAAATGTCAAAGCACATATCGAAATGACTAAAACTTAAACTAAAATTAAAATGAAAAATATAAAAATAAAAGCTAATTCAAAATATTTATAAATAGGCTTCTATATATAGAAAATATAATATACAGAATAAAAATAATACAATGACAATTGTAAATAACATTGGTATGTAAATGCATAATAGTATTCTGTATAGTATGTGGCCCGTCCAGTCAGAATTCAGAATCATAAATATCTGTTTTATGATGTACAATACATGATCAGCTGATTCATCAGGATGAAGATGCTTGTGTAAAACACTCACGTCTTTGAATAGGTGCAGATTGGGTATGCGAACCAACACTCTGACGAGACTTTCATCCTTCTGCAAAGTCGTGGTGGGGCTTTGAAAGACATCTGTGAGAGACGAACAGAAACTACAGTGAGAAAGTGTAGAATTCTAGAGTGTCTGGATGTGAAATCTCTGTGTAAATGTGTGACCTGGGTAAGGCTCAGTCTGTCCCTTGCCGAAAGACGACACCGATTGCTGTGGTGATGAGACGCCCAATGAACCGAGCCCAGAGGACTGGGAGGTGGAGCTCGGAGGTCTGGAGGAGGGGCCAACCGTCTTCAGCTGGTCATTCTCCGCCTTCAGGTTTTCCACCGTCATCTGTCAAGGCATTTATTAAGGGATTTTCAAACGCAAGTATTACATATTTAATATCAATTTTGTTCATTATTACTATTATTACTATTATTATCGTCATTATTATTAGCCAGTGTGTCTAAATAATAAGAATAATATATATATATATATTTTAATTACAATTATTTAAAATGATTATTTGTATTATTAATAGCTAACCATAACACCTATATAATAATTATTTTAAATACATAGTATAATTTTAAATATTTTGTAATTATTATTATACATTTAATTATACACATATAATATTAATAATACATTTAAATATACATCACTTGCAATTATTTATTTTTGTGTTATTAATAACCAGTACACCTATAGAATAACAAAAAACAATAATAAAATTATATATAAAATATAGTTAAAAATATTATTATTATTATTAATTAGTTAATACAATTTTACATTAAATTTGTATTATTATTATAATTTTTTTTTATGTAGTCCGTGTTTGCAGCCAAACGCAATTTCACAAAACCAGTGATCAATCAAAAGTTGTGTTCATTTAGTCTCAAATCTCAGGCCTGAAATCAGTTCTACAGGCAAATATAAGCCTGCTCATGAATTCATGTTCCTCTAAGCAGCATCTCACACACACCTGCATGTTGGTCATGGCCTCCTGCAGCTGCTCCAGCTGATGGGCGGAGCTTAGCGCCTCCAAACGGATGTCCGTCAGCTTGCGCTCTTTCTCCCACAGTTCCGAGCGTAACTCTGTCACCACTTTCACTTCATGCTCAGTGTCCTCATGACCCTCGCACGATCTGCCGTAAATACCGACATCAAACCTATAACTATGAAAGGTGAATGCTGCGTAATTCCAATCATCTTGTGAAGAACCTCAACAGTTGCATTTCCTACCCTGATGTTGAAGTCGAGGCATTATCCACATTGTGGATGATTTTGGGTGAAGATGGGGCGGATGTGACCGGGGTTGTGATCTCCTCTATATCTGCGTATGGTGCTTTGGAACCCTTTTTACTGAAGGCCTTGTTGAAGGAGCTCCTCAACTGCATGTAGAGGAGAAATGAGGGTCAACGTTTAACTACAGCAACCACTTTATATTGAGAGTCTTTTAAAAACAAGTATGAATTCCCAGAGTGTTCGTATAGATAGTTTGGATTCATAATGGCAGCTAATAGCAAAACAAAAAATGCAGTGGAGGCATATAGGATTTGATGTGTTTATGATGGCATATGCATTAAGTGTCTCAACAGTGAATTTTAGATAGAATGATCCAACAAGTCTCTTTATTTTCCAGCAAAGCTTCATCTAGCATTAGTAGTATGATGTAATGAATGTCTATTTCTCAAAAACTGGAACTAAAAATAGAACTATTACAAATCATTTTCCATATCTGAAATAAATATGAAAAAAAAAACATCGGAAAAACTATATATAGATATAAACAAATGGAAACACTTACACTTAAATTAAAATTAGACAACTAACTGGAATAAGGTGAAGTACTGCTAAAAATAACACTGAAATAAAAATAAATTAAAGACATATAGAAATATAAAAACCCCAAAACAAAAAAAAATGACAAAAGCACATATTAAACCTAAAATTTAAATAAATTAAATTGAATTATAAATTAAATTAACTGAAATATATAACAATAAATGCTCATTCAAAATATTATACTATAATAGTATACAATAACGCTGATTATCTATGGCGTCTACCCTGACACGGTTCATAATAATATGCTCGTCGTAGGCATTAGTTATGACAGTATTAATCACAAAGCACATATCAAACAGTTTAAGAATGCATGAAATAATGAGTTAACAGGACACCTGAAACACCATGTGGAAAATTCATTTTTCAGTCAATATGACTATTAATATATTGTACAGTATATTGCATTGCATATTACTAAAACACAAATTCATCCTTTAAATGTGGCAGATTCTAAACCTGAAAGCATCCATTTCACACTATACTATCC